AACATATTTTTGAAGAGCAAATGTACAGCAAAATGAAAACGAATTTTATCAATTGCATAAACTGAAATCAAATTAGGATTTCAGTTTGATGTTGATATCAAAACTTGATTTCAATTTGCTGTCATTTTGATGCTGGACTTTGTTCAGGTAGACATTCATCTCGATTTTTAAATCAATATTTAAATTTTTGATCGTAGACACTAAATCTATTCGTTGACAGCTCGCTCCCATACAAAGTCCCACCAAGGGGCACTAAGATGGTGATTTTTGCTAATGTAATCGTACTTATTTAAAATAGTTCCAGTGTACCAAAATTGATGAAATTTTGGATTTCGGTTCCATTTTTAATGCAGATACCGAATATGTATTTACCTCAATACCCCTAAACAACACAAATTGGGCACATATACAAATTTCGAACACCTAAACACCCTGTTCGGATAGATTTTCGGGCAGACGTAAACACGTTTTGATAGCAGCATAAGAAGCTTCTAAGCTGTAGTTGTATATTTGTATTAGTGTTATGGCTTTTAAATAAAGGTATTACATTTTCGTGTTGTTCTTCCTGTTCAAACCGGAAACTATATTAACGTGAATTTTCACTAGCAACAAATTGCCCAAGGTTTTATAAATAGTGATTAGGTTTTACAACTTTTGCATGTTAGGATAAGTTTCAATAAGTACTTACTCTTAGGTTTGTAATTTTTAACAATTAATATAAATCCAGCCGTACTAATAGCCGTACTAGTTATCTATAAGAAATCTAGGGTTAGAATTTGCATTGCACGTAAATATGCAAAAAAAAATGTATATAATTTTACCTAGGTTGAAAATTCATTCACTTCACTAGACAATAGTTCAAAAAATCTAGACTTAAGATAACTTTAGGTAGGATTTAACTTATTAATATTTTCAATTTTGTACTACATATTTAATTACTCTTAAGAACTTTCACGATCGTTTTTCAGCTTCTTCGATCACGTTGTAGTTTTATGCTGCAAGTGACGTTTGAGCGACACGTCACCGGCTATACTCTGTTTGACGTTTGCTGTTTGCCAGATCTTGGGTGATACGGAACTCTCCTCGCTACCAATGAGTATGTCCTGTGGTATCGTAACATATCGCGATTAAGGCCATATTTACGCTTTAAAGCGGTTTAAATATTTGGAAAACCCAAATCATGCTTCAGGTCAAAATTACGAAGAAAATCGAGTACACAGATTTCGAACACCTAAACTGCCGCTCATGGCAAACCCGTCCCATAGCACAAATCACTAATCAGCATGCCGAGAACAACGCGATTAAAGTTTGCTTCTCACCACTGCTTCTTATGTACATGGACAACCTATTTGGCTATTTTCCAACCTTTTCCAGAACAAAGTTGATGAGTTTATCTAGTATTATAAAAATATGTCACCGATTTGAGCCAAACTTGGCCAAAACGCTTATTTTAGCATTCTGAACAAGCGCCTTTTTTTATTTGCTCTAAAGTGCCTAGATCCTTCTGGGCTACAACCCTGTATTTTCGAGATTTTTAAAAATTTCAACTTTTAGAAGAGATTACCCCAGAACCAAATAAGCTATTCGTGATCTTAGAACGTCAATTTGAAGGTTTTGTAATGTAATTTATTATTAATGTTCAAACATTTTGTTTTTGTTATAGTAACTACAGTAAACAGACTCATTACCGGCAGGTATCCAAATTGTCAAAAAATGGTCTATTTTCACCATGGGCGGGATTTTTTATTTCTTAATATTTGGCACAATCATTAGGAATTCAAGGAAAAAAATGGTATTGGTTTTCCACTAAATAAAGCTCAAAACTACCACTCCCTCATCTGGTCATATCTCAAAAACTATCATTTACCCTTAGAAACACATCAAGTACAAGAGTTTTCCAAGGTGTGGTGAAAATTTGAGCTCAAAACATTAAGGAAAAAAAAATCCCGCCCATGGTGAAAATATACAATTTTTTGCCAATTTGGATACCTGCCGGTAATGAGTCTGTTTACTGTAGTTACTATAACAAAAACAAAATGTTTGTACATTAATAATAATTTACATTACAAAACCTTCAAATTGACGTTCTAAGATCACGAATAGCTTATTTGGTTGTGAAGTAATCTCTTCTGAAAGTTGAAATTTTTAAAAATCTTGAAAATACAAGGATGTAGCCCAGAAGGATCTAGGCACTTTAGAGCAAAATCAAGAAAGGCGTTTGTTCAGAATGCCAAAATAAGCGTTTTGGCCAAGTTTGGCTCAAATCGGTGACATCGACCACAGGTGGTGTACCCACTTGAGCTGGAATGACCCATATTCCGGATCCTACTCACAAAGTCCCAGAAAATCGATCCCAGATAACACAAGATCTCGCCGTTTCATGCATTTTTAAGCAAAAAAAAAGTCTATTTCCGATTTCAATCTTTGACCGCTTTGCGGCATCTTTAATTCATGTCCGATGGTGTCCAAATTTTGCATAATGGTCTTTTTTCGAGTCGACAAACAGTTTGTGTATGGTCCGTGTGAAAAATTCAAAATGACCGGTTCCATTGGCCCCCTTTTGTAGACTCTGTTACTTTTCCTCTTTCTGCAGCTCTGACCTCTCGGAATCAAGATTAGGAATTATGAGAATATGCTCATAAGGGAACGAACATAATGAAGCCTATTCTGCGCCGCGAGTGACGTGAGGTGACTCTCCGTGCAAATCAAATGGAGATTCACCTCACATATGATGACTAATTGTAACCTCACTAGTTACAGCTCACCTCACTCGTGGCGCAGAATAGACCACATAGATTGAGGTTATAGATACAGGATCTAGCTGCTAAATAGTCAATATGCTTCATCAGTGCATATCGGTGCATTACGACGGGTCTCATTATAGCCAAAGCAATAAGACGCCTGCAGGGATCACACTGTATGCAGCAAATTAAATAAATTCAATGCGTTCATCCGTTGCAACTGGTTTTCAATCTACTGCATGAAGCATCCGATGCCATCAGTAGTTTGTATTTTCTGATTTTTTTTTTTCGATATCCATCTCGAATAATTTCAAATCCTGGACTACAGTCAACTAATCCTAACTCGATATTGAAGGGACCATCGAGTTGTGGACTCAAATTTGGGAAACTTTTGAGCGTCCCACACTTCCTAGATCTTGCTTCACTTGATCTAGCTCGTTGCGTTCCTCAGCGTATTGTACCCAAACAAATCGAGATCATCAAGGTAGTTTGCCTTTGAAAAAAAACAATATCACATATTTTGAACAATTGTAGGATTTTGGTTAATTTTTCAAACATGCATGATTTTGAAAGTTTTACGAGATCGCAAACCAGGAAAAATTTTCGAAAAACAAAAATACAATCCCAAATTGAAAGATTTTCAACATTCTACGATCCGAAAATGAGATGTTGACAGTTAACTTTGCCAGAATATAAGAGTCAGGTATAGCAGCGCTGCGTTTGAGTAAAGGTTGAAAGCAACGCATTGGTTGGAATATTTGCAAATCCATTCGGAGCAATTACCCTCACTGGAAACGAATCTTACTCAGAGAGTGAGTCACTTTTACGCATTCGTATGGAGGAAATTCTAAACGCGTAGGTTACTCATGCGCTGAGTAAATACGACTGAGTAAAGGTGACTCACTCTTTGAGTTAGTTTCGTTTTCAGTGTTTTAGCGGAAGATGAAGCGGTTGTGGTTGTCTCGTAGCGGTCGTATAGACCTTTTTGACGTATAATCAACCGGTGGAAACTAACGATTTTAAATTGGTTCACTACTTGACTAACCTATTGGTCCCAAGCAAATCGATTATGTACCCCATACTTGTCGAAATTCTAGTACTACACTATGTTTGTTTTGATTCGCTATGAAAATTTGACAGATAAAATGAGGGGCTCGTGGATTTTCCTATTTTTCGAGGGTTGCATCGATTAGCTTGGGACCGAAGATAGTACCAGAGCTGAGCCAAAAAGTTGAGCACGTTTCTTCGGTACCTTCTGGTCTTAGAGTTACCTCTATGCTACTACTGGATTGTACTAGCATTTTCACCAAATGTACTAGAATGTTTTGGTTCTATCTCTTTCACTCTACTAAAAACTGAAATGCATAAATAAAATGAAAAAATGACTCGCAAATTGATACACTCTTTGCACACTGTTAAAGAACATTGCACTTAAAATCAACTTTGTTAAAATCAAAACAAAAATACTAGCCCATCTGGTGGCTGATGGCACAAGCTTCTAAGAAAATTCTTTTACAGCGAACCGCATTATTTTAATTGATTTCTTCGCCAGTTATTTTTCTGTCACTTCATTAATGTTTGAATTGTCAATCTTCTTGATATATTCGTCTATACCACTAAAACCAGTGGTTTTCAACCGATGAGGAATTTCACCAAAAGCTGATAGCCCCTTTTCAATTGTTGGACGAAAATTGTGAGATGAGTTGTATGGTTAGTCTATGGAGAATAAGCAAATTAAAAAAGAGGATTCTGTGAATTCTTAGAAAAAGTTTAAAATTTGAAGAGAATCTAAGATAAAATTTAGTGATTTTTATTGGAGTTTTCTAAAGATAATTTCTGGAGTGTTTATAAGGAGCATTTAAAAGAACTCCCAGAGAGAATTTCAACTTTAATTTCGAAAAAAATCTTGAAAGAACTCTATGAAGGGAAATGATGGTAAAGGAAATGCTTGAGTCAAATTTGTAAAGTTTTGACCGAATTTTCATAGACAAATTGTGAAGACTTCGAACGTGTCACAGAAACAGGCATTCAAGATCCAGGAAGCATGCTGTTGTTTTAGTAATGACCCATTTAGCCTAGGGATTTTTTTCGACTCAATCGCCTTCGGTTTTAAAATTTAAATTATAATTTTTTTAAACTAGCTTTATTTAGAACCATGTATCGAATTTTGTTATTTAGGATGCATAGGGTACACACCGACACCAACCGTATCGATAAAACTAACCTCATTCAACAATTTCCATTTTCCCTACCGCACAGACCACCTACACCGACAAGGGCTCGAAACCGGACGGCGGAAAGTTCCTCTGCTTCGATCACATCACCTTCTACGTGGGCAATGCCAAACAGGCGGCCAGCCACTACACGACCCGCATGGGTTTTACCAACCTGGCCTACCAGGGACTGGAAACCGGAAACCGCCGTCTGGTCAAGCACGTGGTCCGCCAGAACAAGATCGTGTTTGTGTTCGTTTCCGCCTACGAACCGGACAATACCGAACTGGGTGCGCATCTCGTGCGCCACGGAGACGGAGTCAAGGACGTGGCCTTCACGGTTGAAGATCTGGACGTGATTGTGAAGAGGGCGAAGGAACGTGGGGCCGAAGTGGTTCGAGATATCTGGGAGGAAAGTGACCAGTTTGGAAAGGTAAGGTTCGCCACCGTCAAGACCTACGGCGACACCCAGCACACGTTCGTGGAGAGAAAGAACTACGGAGGACTTTTCCTGCCTGGCTTCAAGGCCCCGCTGTATGATGACGTTCTGTTGAAGCAACTGCCTCCGACGCATTTGAACTTTATCGACCACGTGGTCGGTAATCAGCCGGATCTCCAGATGGAATCGGTGGCCGCTTGGTACGAGAAGGTTTTGATGTTCCATCGCTTCTGGTCGGTGGACGACAGCCAGATTCATACGGAATACTCCGCCCTGAGATCGATTGTCATGACCAACTACGAGGAGACGGTGAAGATACCGATCAACGAACCGGCCAAGGGGAAGAAAATTTCACAAATCCAAGAGTACGTGGACTACTACGGAGGTGCCGGAGTGCAGCATATCGCGTTGAACACTAGCGATATTATCAAGGCTATCGAGAATCTGCGAGCCAGAGGAATGCACTTTTTGTCGGTTCCGAGTTCGTACTACGATCAGTTGAGGGATCGTCTGAAGACCAGCAAAGTCAAGATCCAAGAGGACATGGACACGCTGCAAAAGTTGAACATTTTGATCGATTACGACGAGAACGGATATCTGCTGCAAATCTTCACGAAGAACATGCAGGATCGTCCGACGCTGTTCTTGGAGGTTATCCAGAGACATGGCCATAACGTGAGCTAGCTTGCTCAACTTTTACGGTAACCTGAACTAACTTGTATTTCTATTTCAATAGGGTTTCGGCGCCGGCAACTTCAAGGCACTGTTCGAAGCTATCGAAACCGATCAGGACAAGCGTGGAAATCTGTAAACGGACAACCGGAGCGAACTGCATGCCAACGTAAATACTTGCCATACGCCCGGAGTGCACTCATCCATCCTATGTAGTTATTTTCTTATGTTGTTAGTACCGTGAATGTTACCTTAGATCTAGTGTTAAGTCAGTATATAAGTAAACCGTTCTTGTAGTAAATTTTCGATGCCCTTTTAAATGCTTCATCCGTAGAGAATATCACACTACCTCATCCCCTTTTTTGAAGAGGATTTTCTAAAAAATGCTCAATGATTGAATATTACTGTTGATATTACTTTCCCCAAGGGGTTCGACTTCGGGTTCGACAGCCAAGTGAAAGATCTAACCATAGAGGTAACTTTAAGACTAGTAGCATAGAGGTACATAACTCTAAGACCAAAAGGTCTCGAAGAAACGTGCTCAACTTTTTGGCTCAGCTCTGGTACCAACAATCAATACGAAACTAACGATTTTAAATTGGCTCACTACTTGACTAGTCTATTGGTCCCAAGCAAATCGATTAACGTACCCCATTCAAGTATAAATTCCAGTACTACACTATATTTGTTTTTATTCGCTATGAAATTTTGACAGATAAAATGAGGGGCTCGTGGACTTTCCTATGTTTCTAGGGGTGCATCGATTAGCTTGAGACCGAAGAGAGTACCAAAGCTGAGCCAACAAGTTGAGCACGTTTCTTCGGGACCTTCTGGTGTTAGAGTTACCTCTATGATCATAGTCTTCACGGACTTGAAGTACTCGAGATTTGCTTGATGTTGCCTTCAAAGTTTTGGTCTTGCACATTTTTTTTTATTGACATACGATTCCGCATTTGTCGCATATTTTACTTTAGGCCGGACAGTTTTTTTCGTTTGCGAAATGTCCTGAGTTTCCGCATCGGAAACATGGCGATCGAGGTGGCAAGCAATTTTCTTCACCAAATTGACAGAATCTTCTTCGACAGACTTTTTCAGTTGCTCTCTATTCCTCAGTACCGTTTCCAAAATCTGACCTTCATCTGCTATTTCCTGCACCGTCACACAGAACAGAAGGGGAAGTACAAACAAATCGATGAATCAAAAGTGGTTCGTTTTGCTGCTCACCCGAATAGAAATTTACATTAGCCCAACGTTTGATTTTGATGTCTACATCAGCATCGAAATCAAATGTATGCCTGATGTCAAACATTAGAAAACATTATGATTTAGTTGTATTTAAGCAACGTAACATGGTGTATACATCAGAAATTTTGGAACAAAATTTTGCCATTCTAATGTCGGTCTGACGTCAAAAATTTCAATCTATTGACATTAGAATCAAACGTTTTAAGGATGTTTTCAGATGTAAAAAACGTTAGAACTAAACGTTGTTCGGATGTTTTTAAATGTAAACGTTTTCTGATGTTTTCTAATGTAGATGTTTCCTGATGTTAGAACCAAACGTTTTTGGATGTTTTCGGATGTACATAACGTTAGAACTAAACGTTGTTCGGATGTTTTTATATGTAAATGTATTCTGATGTTTTCTAATGTAGATGTTTCCTGATGTTAGAATCAAACGTTTTTCGGTTGTTTTCGGATGTAAAAAACGTTAGAACTAAACGTTGTTCGGATGTTTTTATATGTAAATGTATTCTGATGTTTTCTAACGTAGATGTTTCCCGATGCTAGAACCAAACGTTTTTTGGATGTTTTCGGATGTACACAACGTTAGAACTAAACGTTGTTCGGATGTTTTCTATTGTACTTCGTGTTTGTTGTTCTCTGATGTTTTCAGATGTACAAAACGTTTAAAGTAAACGTTGTTTGAATGTTTTCAAATGTAGATGTTTACTAATGTTTTTAGATATACAAAACACTAGAATCTTACTTTTCAAATGCTTTCAATTATATTTACAACACATTAGAATTAGAAACATGATCGTGTAAACACTACACACCATTGTTGTTAGATAACATCATAAAAATGCGTACATAATAGTCAATGCTGAAGCTCCCGTTTCCCACCAGTCAGTTAACTGACCTTAGCTAACCTAATGTCATTGCGGCAACTCTCTATGCGGCAGGGGAACTATGCCATTAGCGCGCTAAGAGTTGTTAGACCACTGACATAGGCGCCAATTTGTAGGTGACGAGGCACTTGGTGACATTACAGCGAGCTTGACGATTGTTGTAGCATTTTTTTAGCAAACTACCAGTTAAGGTGTGTAGTGTTTACAAGATCATGTTTCTAGCTCTAATGCTTTGTACAATTGAAAGCATTGGAAAAGTTAATTCTCATGTTTTGCATAACCGAAACCATCAGAAAACATAAAATAGTACAAAAAAAACATCAATTCTGGTAGACTATCTCTTAAATGCATACAGAATAGCCATTGCTTAAGCTCCCGTTTCCCACCAGTCAGTTAACTGACCTTAGCTAACCTAATATCATTGTGGCAACTCTCTATGCGGCAGGGGAACTATGCCATTAGCGCGCTAAGAGTTGTTAGACCACTGACATAGGCGCCTATTCGTGGGTGACGAGGCACTTGGTGACATTACAGCGAGCTTGGCGATTGTTATAGCATTTTTGAGTGAACTACCAGACAATCATGACAATGTGATCGCTGCGCCTCCAGATCTCCCTTTAAATCGACCCACTGTGCCAATTTGTCAATAATGCATGACACTTTGGACGTGGATCGGGATGATCCACAAATGCGGAAAGTTTTGGGCTACCTGTCTTCTACCGAATTGACGAACTGCAAATATATAATAAACAAAATTATTGTGCATGAAAAATATGACAATGTACAATGCTCGAGGAACACTGGGAGTTTTCGAACGACGCGTGCTTAGGAATGCCGGACAACAATCCCGCAAAAATGGTGTTTTCCTCAAATCCGGCCGGTACAAGACAAAGAAAAGTACAGCGTGCTAGGTGGTTAGACCAAGTGGAGCAAGATGTAGGAAGTGTGGGATGCTCGAGAAATTGGAGACAAGCAGTCAGGGACCGAGTTAGTTGGCGCAACTTTGTTATACAGGTCAAATCTTGAGGGACGTCGGACCAGCAAAAGTAAAGTAAGTATCTTATACGTTTGCCAACATTCCACGACAATATATGATTAGGTTTTCACTTGGTATGTAATGAACAACAGAGATACGCGATAATTCGTATAGTTTCTGCGATTGATGGTTAATTTTAAATGTACGTATAGTACTACATAACAGCATAACTGGATCGTCATGTTCACCATCTGTCATTGTCTGCAAAAATATTTAATAGCAGTTACCTGTGTTGTGATACTTCCTTCAATGAAAACTAATTTTCTTGCATTGCCATGGTCATCTGGGATGAGGCTGGTCCACTGATCATTCGGAATAAGCTCTCCACACATCATTGAATCAATGTAGGATCAATGTAGATATGTAGATATCAATGTACATAGATGGTGTCATATGCAAAGTGCGAAAAGAGAATGAAAGAAATACGAAAAAGATTAGCATCAAGAAGTAACAGTTTCATCGGATTAGTCACCAAGTCCCCCACCACTGCTATCTGCAGCCCTATCACTCCCATTCCCACGATTGCGGAAGAGAATAATAAAGTTCTTGATTTAATTTAAAGAAATTAATATTTAATATCGGGATCCGTATTCGGTTTCCCCATCGGGATCCGTATCCGGTTTCCCCATCGGGACACGTACTCGGTTTCCCCATCGGGATCCGTATTCGGTTTCCCCATCGGGATCCGTATTCGGTTTCCCCATCGGGATCCGTATTCGGTTTCCCCATCGGGATTCGTATTCGGTTTCCCCATCGGGATCCGTCTACGGAATCCCTATTGGGATGCGTATTCGGTTTCCCAATCGGGCTCCGTATTCGGTATCCCCATCGGGATCCGTATTCGGTTTGCCCATCGGGATCCGTATTCGGTTTCGCCATTGGGACCCGTATTCGGTTTGCCCATCGGGATCCGTATTCGGTTTCCCCATCGGGATCCGTATTCGGTTTCCCCATTGGGACCCGTACTCGGTTTCCCCATCGGGATCCGTATTCGGTTTGCCCATCGGGATCCGTATTCGGTTTCCCCATCGGGATCCGTATTCGGTTTCCCCATCGGGATCCGTATTCGGTTTCCCCATTGGGACCCGTACTCGGTTTCCCCATCGGGATCCGTATTGGGTTTCCCCATCGGGATCCGTATTCGGTTTCCCCATTGGGACCCGTACTCGGTTTCCCCATCGGGATCCGTATTCGGTTTCCCCATCGGGATCCGTATTCGGTTTCCCCATCGGGATTCGTATTCGGTTTCCCCATCGGGATCCGTCTACGGAATCCCTATTGGGATGCGTATTCGGTTTCCCCATCGGGATCCGTATTCGGTTTCCCCATCGGGATCCGTATTCGGTTTCCCCATTGGGACCCGTACTCGGTTTCCCCATCGGGATCCGTATTCGGTTTCCCCATCGGGATCCGTATTCGGTTTCCCCATCGGGATCCGTATTCGGTTTCCCCATCGGGATTCGTATTCGGTTTCCCCATCGGGATCCGTCTACGGAATCCCTATTGGGATGCGTATTCGGTTTCCCCATCGGGATCCGTATTCGGTTTCCCCATTGGGACCCGTACTCGATTTCCCCATCGGGATTCGTATTCGGTTTCCCCATTGGGACCCGTACTCGATTTCCCCATCGGGATTCGTATTCGGTTTCCCCATCGGAATCCGTCTACGAAATCCCCATCGGGATCCGTCTACAGAATCCCCATCGGGACCCGTATTCGGTTTCCCCATCGGGATCTGTCGATGGAACCCGTCATCGGGATCCGTCTACGGAACCCGTCATCGGGATCCGTCTACGGAACCCGTCATCGGGATCCGCCTACGGAACCCGTCATTTTCCACTTTATTTTAGCTTTTAGTAGGGGTAAGAGGGGCATAGTGAACAGGTGGGGCATAGTGGGCATCCAGCTTGAACTTCCGGCTGTTCGGAAAAAAAAATTGTTGGTGGTAGGATCAATATCATAATGATATTGAACCTACTACCAGTTGATTTGTTTCATGCAGCTGGAGATCCAAAGCCAAACTGCGGGATGCTCACTATGCCCCTCTTCCCCTATTTATTTATTTATTTGTCAATCAAATAAAAAAAAAACAATAAACACATTCACTAACCTGCAAAGAGATCCGGCTTCGAA